GCCCTCTATGAGGTGGATTGATTCAGTGACTGGGATAATTGGGGTGGGAGTGTCAGAGACAGTGCAATTGGCACAGGACAGAGTGGAGTTTAGGGTTGTTGTACATAGGGTTGCTATGAGTCGCAAGCGACTCGACAGCACATAACAACAACAACAATCAATATTTGTTAAATGTCCTCCTTTAGAACTTGAAAAGAATACAATTTTATTTGGCATAGCTCCATGGCTCACATGACTATGTGATATATTCTTGTCTTACTTCAATTATATGCCTGTATTAGCACATATATACATATATCTGTACGCTGACCAACCTGAAGAAACATTGTTCAAATCTACTAGCTGCTCTATAGGAGAAGGATGGGCTGTCTCCTCCCATGTGATTAATTGCACTGAAAACCCACTGGAGGGTCAGGTGTCGGTCTGCTTGATGATACATAACAACATGTTTATACAAACCTTTGCTCAGCCTCAGGTCAGTAATATTCCTGCAAGACGTGCCTAGCCAGAAATTCACCATGAAGAAGCTTTAAACAAATCCAAATTAAGAGGCAGTGAACAAATTAACTACCTATGCTATTAAAAATAATCTCGTGGTAATGAAATTTAATAAAAGACTAAACTTAGAAATTGTTTCACATTAAATTAAGGAGACTAAAGAGCAGAAGATCAAAGACTCCAGCCTTCAGTATGGAGAATTTGACTATGATATGTCTTGATGTTTTTCTTTTTGAGTCTAGTCTATTTGGTGTTCTCTGTGTTTCTTGAATGTAGATATCCCCACTCTTCAAAATACCTGGGAAGTTTTCTTCTAGTACTTCTTCCACAATCTTCTCCGTGATTTCCCTGTCACTACCCTGTTCTGGAATTCCAATAATATGTATGTTACTCTGTTTGATGATACAGCCTTCAATAAGGATTACATCTCAACATCAAGATTATAAAAATACTCACCTCTGCACACTGGACTCAAGACAACCTTGTGACAGATTGAGAAAAGATTGAAGTTGTCAATGATTTTCGCTTACTTGGCTCCACAGCCATATTAGCAAACAAGAAATCATAGAGTTGTATAATTAGATGGGGGTGTGTGTGAGGGAAATTGGAAGAATTTTTTCTCAAAAACAGTGTATTTTAATTTTGTAAAATAAACTAGTATTAAAAAATAAAAAGAAATCGAAAGATGTGTTGCATTGGGAAAATCTGCTCTCCAGAACCCCTTCAAAGTAATAAAAGGCAAGAATGTCCGTTTAAACAATAAGGTGCCCCTGATCCAAGCCATGGTCTTTTCAATTACTTGCAATGCATCTGAATGTTGGACCATGACTAAGAATGACAGAAGAACTGATGTCTTTGAGTAGTGGAGCTGGAGCAGAGAACTGAATATTCTATGGACTGCCAAAAGAATTTAAAAAAAATGTCATGGGAAGAGTGCAGCGTGAGTGCTCCTTAGAGGCAAGGATGTTCTCACATACTTTGGGCATATTTAGGAGAGGGCAGTCCTTGGAAAAAGACATAATTTTGGGAAAGGCCACGGGTCAGTCAGTGAAGGAGAACAAGATCCTTAACCAGATGGACCAACACAACGACTGTATCAGTGCTCTCAGGTGAGTAAAGATGATAGAGATGCCACAGGATAAGGCGTGGTTCAGATCCATTGTTCACAGGCTTGCTCCCAGTCATAACTCAACTCATGGCTCCAAACAAAGAGACAGTAACTGAATGTGATCTATAAGCTTAGATTTCCTTCAGCTAGAAAGGGCATCATGGGGATAATTGATGATATCAGAACAAGGTCTGAAATCAGGTCATCATATAATGTTGTTGGTGTTGTTATGTGCCATCGAGTAGTTTCCGACTCATAGCGCCCCTATGTACAACAGCCCTAAACCCTGCTCTGTCCTGTGCCAATCGCACTGTCTCTGACACTCCCATCCCGATTATCCCAGTCACTGAATCAATCCACCTCATAGAGGGCCTTCCTCTCCTGCGCTGTCCCTTCACCCTACCAAGCATGATGTCCTTCTCCAAGGACTGGTCTCTCTTCACAACATGTCCAAAGTATGTTAGACGGAGTCTCAGAATCCTTGCCTCCAAGGAGCCACCCGGTTTAACCCTTTCCAGGACAAATCTGTTTGTTTTCCTAGCAGTCCATGGTACCCTCAATACTCTTCTCCAGCACCACAGCTCAAAGGCATGAATTCTCCTTCTATCCTCCCTGGTCATTGTCCAACTCTCTGATGCATAACAAGTGATTGGGAAGACCATGGCCTGTATCAGACACACCTTAGTCTCTAGAGAGACACCATTGCTCATCAGTACTTTGGAGAGGTCCCTAACAGCAGACTTTCCCATGGCAATGCGCCTTTTAATTTCCTGGCTACTGGTGCCAAGACTGTTGACTGCGGAGCCAAGCAAACTAAAGCTGTGTACAATCTCAATCTCTTCACCATCCATCCTGATGCTGCCAATTGGTCCAGTGGTGAGAATCTTTGTCTTCTTGACATTGAGCCTCAATCCATATTGAAGGCTGCACTCCTTGACCCTCTGCAGCAGGTGCTTCAGGTTCTCTTCAGTTTCAGCAAGCAGGGTTGTGTCATAAAATCAGCTATTAATTTTCAAGATTTGGGTCATTGAATGTGGTCACGGAACAGAATGTCTTGGTTTTTGTTTTTGAGAATTCCTTGTTTTGAGGGGAGTGCACCCTGGAGTGTTTAGACACGGGGCGCATGTCTACATCTTACGTTTAAACCATTCAGAAAAACATACTTAGGTCTACGTACAGAAAGAGAATAAAACAAATGTCATAAAATGCTAACATCCTAGGGACTTGAGAGAAAAGGACAGTCAACAACTGTTGTACTGTTTTTACAGTTTTACTGTACAATTTTTACTGTCAGTCTGAAATGGCATAAAACTCCTTAAAAACAGTAAAACAAGATAAAGTTTGAAAACAGTCAAATGTGCTTGATAGTGCAGCTGTAAAGGGAGAGCTGAGGCCCAAAGTGAAGATGAGACTGGCAGGTTCTGAAGGTCATCGTCTGTTTCCCTTCAGGTTACGCCCTTGACCGCTTTGAAGTTTGCGGAGCTCTCCGTCAAAGCTGGCTTCCCAAAAGGGGTAATCAACATAATTCCAGGCTCAGGTAAACCGTCAAATACCCTGCTTAGCCATAAGCAATGAAAGGTTCCAGTTAGCTGGGTGGCTGTTACCCTTGCAGTCTTGTTCTGAATTATAACTATGTCAAAACTAAATACAGTTTACCAAACAGTTGACTTCAGGATAAATATACTTCAATTGGACTAAAATCTTAAAGAGGAAATCTATGAAAGGATGAAATGGGCTGTGACAACTTGTAAAACTTATTTCAGTTTTTTTTAAACAAACAAACAAACAAACAAAAAACCAAACAAAACAGCTTTAGAAAGTGAGATCCAAGCCTGACCCATCATTTCTGGGGCTGATAATTGCATGGAGTCTGTTATGCTAGATTTTTGTCAGCTTGCAACACAGAAAATGTAAAACCTGAGGGTTCAATGAGAGCTAATCCAAGCCTACCCTCATCACAAGTAAAGTCTGAGTCGTGTCTTTATTTACATCATATTCCTTTCTTCCACAGGGGGTATAGCAGGACAACGCCTTTCAGACCATCCAGATATCCGCAAGCTCGGTTTCACTGGTTCTACAGCAATTGGCAAACAGATCATGAAGAGGTATTGTTAAACAAATGTTAAATAATTTTTTTAAATATTTTAATTTTGAAGAAAGACAAACCACATCAAATTTAAGAAGGAAATCCCTTTTGTCACAGCTGAGTATTTAAAGGGGCGCTGGAGGTGTATCCCATGGGGAATTGTGTTGATTAACCAGTGTAGCGCTGATGGTTTGTATTCACCTGCTGCTGTGAGGGAGAAAGATGGGCCGTCTCCTTCTAGTAAGATTTACAGCATCAGAAACTTAATAGAGGGCTGTGCTGTGTTGAAACCCTGTCTAACGCAGTGATTTTGAATTTTAACCTCAAGTTGCAATACTTAAGGATGGTTTGGGCAGAATATGAAATGATCCAGGAAGTATTAAAAGAAGATGGAAAGCGTATTACAGAGTCATTACACCAAAAGGAATTGGCGGACACAGAAGAATTTAATGAAACAATGTATGAGCAAGAGCCTGTGGTGATGAAGGAAGAATTTCAAGTTGCTCTGAAAGAATTGGCAAGAAACAAGGCCCCAGGAATAGATGGTATACCAATTGATATATTTCAGTAAACAGATGTTGTCCTAGCTGTGCTCATCAAGTTGTGCCAGGAAATCTGGAGGACAACCACCTGGCCAACTGACTAGAAGAGATTTATATTTGTTCCCATTCCAAAGAAAGGTGATCTGACAGAGTGTGGAAATTAACAAACAATATCATTAATATCACATGCAAGCAAGATTCTGCTGAAGATTATCCAAAAATGACTAGAACAGCACATCAACAGAACTGCCAAAAATGGGTTTAGAAGAGGCTGTGGTACTAGGGATATTATAGCTAATGTTAGATGGATCTTGACTGAAAGCAGAGAGTACCAGAGGAATGTCTATCTGTGTTTCATTGACTATGCAAAGGCATTTGACTGTGTGGATCACGGCAAACTGTGGCAGACTCTGAAAAGAATGGGAATCCCAGAAAACCTGATCATGCTTAAAAATAGTACTTCCCACGATATCCAAGCCCTAGGTGAAAATGAGGACTGCATCAAAATTCTACATTCAACTGGTAGCTTGAATATTCTAGCACACAGATGTGAAATTTTTTGCACTAAAATTGCAGCCCAAATTCTCTTTGCTGAGTAGATAGGATATTGAACAAAATTTCTTAAAACCTAATAATAATTTTTTTTTAAAAATTGCAAGCAGTCTAAAACACTCAAAATAAGACAATGGTTTGTCATTGTAATGGAGTACTGTACAGTCAGTCGCTAGGTTCATTCAGAGTGTTGACTAACACAGAAAGTTGTTAAAATAATAAATGGAAAGAACAAGAAAGCATTGAATTTTATATATGATTCCAACTATATTAAGTCAAAAGCCATAAAACTTCATCTCACATGCTTTGGGCATGTTGCAGGAAAGGCCAGTCCTTGGAAAAAGGCATCATGAGGGGAAGGTGGAGGATCAGAGAAAGAGAGGAAGACCCTCAGCACGATGGATTGACCTGTTGACGTCACAGTGGGCTTGAGCATATGAGAGCTGGCGAGGGTGGTGCGTGACAGGGCAAAGTTGAGATCTTTGGTTCATGGCGTCACTATGAGTTGTAGCCCACTCGATGGCATCTAACAACAGTGGCGCTCCTGTGGCCACTGGGTAAAGAGCTGCACTGCCAACCCAAATAAAGGCAGGCAGTTCCTTCAGATCCACCAGTTGTTCCCCAGGAGAAAGATGGGCAATCTCCTTCTCACTTGTGATTTGCAGCCTCTGAAACTCCCCTGGAGGATCAGCTTTGGGTTAGTTCCAACTCAGTGTCAATGAGAATAAGAACTATAATTAAAGACAGAATTCCTTTGCCAAGCCTTTATGTCACCAAAACTCCTGTGGAGAAATAAATTGGATTTTCCTCTGAATAGCTATGGAATGTTCAAGTGCGTTTTCTTATGCGAAATTGTAACGTAGACATACACAGCATATGGTATAGCATAAAAATTCCTTGGGCTCATCACTTTAACAAAACATTTTATCATTTTAACAAGCAGCACACTTCTGTCGTTCAAGTTTTACCTTGGAATGCATTTCTCATTAGAGAAATGGGATTCAACCTCATTACAGGAAGTCCTCCGGTTATAAACTTCCCCAAATTGTGGACAGGTCCTGCTTGCAATGTTATGTAAATAAGCTTTTGGTTTGAAATAATTGAACCAGTCCCTGCTTGTAACAAATTCATAACACTCATCTTCTCTTGCTACTCTTGTACTTTTGAAATCCTTAAAAAGGCTTTTTGCTTTTTCTCTGCACTGAAGTAAGTTTAAATAGGAACCCTGTAATCATCACATTTGTTCTGTCTCACCTCCAAAATCTTCAAGTCACAAAACAGCCTTGTTTCCAGCATGGGGATTGCCTGTGTCTGTAGAAAAAATAGCTTACATGGCATCCAGGCTCTGCCTGGATAAGTAAATGAGAAAAAAAAATCAAGGAAAAGCTGAAAACAGCCTCCTCAGCATAGTAGGTGCTTAGTAAATAGTAATTATTGTTATTTACAACATTGATCTCAATTGCTACTTACAAGCTTATTTCCTTTCAGATATGTAATAATACATCTAGGGGCAACCTATGGTTAAAAAAAGCAAAGAGTGAACAAATAACGACAAATGCTGAACTTTGCTTCTTTCCCCACCCCCAGCTGTGCTGTGAGCAACTTGAAGAAAGTTTCTTTGGAGCTTGGTGGCAAATCCCCACTGATCATTTTCAATGACTGTGAACTTGACAAGGCAGTGCGAATGGTAAGAGTGGATCAAATCCAAGTCACCTTCTAAGTTTAGAAATAGATGCCTACTTCTACAACATATTTCATCTCTGTTGATCTGACGTCTTGGAAGGAGATTCAAGTTTTGTTGAGTCATAGTTTAAAAATCTTCTTTATGTTTATATTTGAGAATATGCAGAGCACTTGACTTTTTTGAAGAAACTTGTTATTAAATTTAATTTTCTTTAAATACATACCTATTCCACAGCACTTAAAGTGTTTGTAATTTATCTCATTGTAAGAAAAGAGCAATGGCAACATGGGGAAAGGCCAAGCCTGGCTTCTACCCACCTCATAAAGGGGAACTGTCCCCATCAATAATGTCTATAGTACCAAACAATTAGCTACATGGTCAGGCATGCCACCTCAGATGCTTTTGCACCTATTTTTACCAATTATTGGGTCCAATGTTAATTGCAAATTGACTCACAGACTTTAGTTACAGTTGTGGGCTTTACTAAGGAAATAGATTGGGGCACAGGGGAGACAAAGAGAATACTACACAATATAAATATAGGTTTAGTCCAACAGTCTCAAGTCAGATTAACAGCATAATTCCTCAAGCAGTGAAAGTCTAAGTTCAGTTCAACAACACAAATGTAAGAGGCTTCTGGTTTCCTCAATGACCAAGCAAACTTTATCTCAGAACAGCTTTTCCTTCAGTCATCCAGCAAGGAAAACCTTTAACTGTGGCTCCATCTCAAAGGTTTCTCTGGTTACACCTTGCCACAGTCTCTTCACTCCCTCTCCATCATCTCCCACAGTGTGGAAGCACTTTCTTATATTGGCCCCACAGCTGTTGGTGATTTACACAAATAAAACCACACAATGTAAGTCCAGGTTTACCCAGCAGGCTTAAGCCAGATTGACAACACAATTCATCAGTTAGTGAAAGTCCAAGTACAGTTTGGCAGCACACATGTAAGAAGCCTCCAGAAAATTTCATCTCTGAGCAGTTACTACAGATTCTTCTTCTCTGTTCCCAACTCTTGCATTCCTGTCACCCATTATTATCAATGCATCTATCTTTATTGAAAGTTCAATTGATCTTCGACTGTAAAAGTTGGTAGAAATCTTCTATTTCTTCTTCTTTGGCTCGGTTGTTGGTGCATATATCTGAATGATAGTGGTATTCACTGGACTTCCTTGTATGTGCATGGATATTATCCTGTCACTCACAATATTGTACTTCAAGACAGATCTAGAAATGGCTTTTCTAACTATGAAAGCAACCCCATTTTTCCTCACCTTTTCATCTCCGGAGTAGTATATCTTATGATCATCTGATTCAAAATGCCCCATGTCAGTCCATCTCATCTCACCAATGCCTCGTATATCAATATTTATGCGTTCCATTTCCTCCTTAATAATATCTAATTTTCCTACATTCATTCATTCATTTCTCTTCTTTGATTCCTTAATTGCTAGCAAAATATTTAACACTTGGTAACCAGTGGTTACTCAATAAATATTAGTACCATCATAATTTTTCTATATTCAGCAAATATTGTGCCATCTCATACTTTTTAAGACTTACTTCAAATGTTAGGTGCACAGAAGATGTATGTTTCTAATAGGAATCAGCTAATTAGTGAAAACTAATCAGTTTTCAAGATTGGTGGAAGATCTATCAACAATCTGCATTATGCAGACGACACAACCCTGCTTGCTGAAA